ATAAGAGAGGGTGGCACCTGTGGCTCAGTGGGTAGGGTGCCAGCCCCATATACCGAGGGTGGTGGGTTCAAACCCAGCCCCGCCAAACTGCAACAAAAAAATAGCTGGGCATTGTAGAGAGCGCCTGTGGTCCCAGTATTTGGGAGGCTGAAGCAAGAGAACTGCCTAAGCCCAAGGAGTTGGAGGTGTGAGCTGTGACGTCACAGCACTCTTCCAAGGGTTAATAAGTAAAACTCTGTCTCAAAAAAAAAAAAAAAATGAAATAAAAGAGATAGATATGTACACAAACATGTTTAGGTTTTCATAATTTTGAAGCTTTCTTGCCCAAAATCAAAATAGTTTTCTTATAGCATGTTTCAAAGATAAAATCACATTACATTCTTGGAAAAAAATCATTAATAGTTTATTAATAAATGCATAATAAATAATTGCATTAGCACCACATAAGGATTTAAGGGAAAGGATTCCTTGGGAAAATTCTACATCCAAACTAGACAGAATCAGTCTTAAGCTCCCTCTACTGTTTACATTTAAATGAAGTAGGAAAAAAAATGCAGATTTTTTCTTTTGGGAGGTAATGGGAAATGCAGGATGGAAGATAAAGTTGACCATGCTGCTGCTGCAACTAAAAGGGAAATTGTCTTAAACAGGGGCTAAATCTATCTGATGATTCTCCCAGAATAATGCTTCAGGACTTCCAAAGTGATTGGGGAAAGAGGGAGTGGAAATAAGGGGTGTTGCTACTGAGTTTGAACCTGGCAATCACACAAGAGCAATCAGTATGAAATAAACTGAGTGGTTACAGTTCAATGGTAGAAAAATTAAGAATTCAAATATATTTCACAAATTTCACTAGAACAAAAAGCTTATACCACACTATTTAATCTATTTAGTTTCAATATTAAGGTTTATTTTTTTTTCCAGAGAGAAATTAAGTAACAATTTAAATAATTATTGGGATGTATAAATGAATATCCATTCAGATAAAACATTACTGCTCAAAAGTGACTAAGAAATATTTTGCATGTAATAAATATACTTTACATTTAGGTTAACAGGCACCATCTTGAGAGCAGAAAAAATTTCTTTTAACCAATAAATAAGTTACATTCAAGAAAAAACAAGGTGTTTATATCTGAAGTATGATATATCCTTAAAGGTTTTTCTTCAAATAGCACCCAAAACTCTAAACTGTCTAGAAAGTTACGTCCTAAAATATAACTCATATCTTAAGTCATAAAAATAAAGGCCAAGAAAAAAAAAATTTAGATAAAATTTACAATTTATATTCTTAATTCCCCATTCAATAAAACATCAATTGCCAATTTACTAAAAGTAAATGAACTATATATATGCAATCCGTTAGGGATGAAAATCTGAAATACATATTTACTCATTGACAGTTATTTAAAATATTGCATCTCTGGTGGCAAAGCTGAAAAGCGTCAAGCATTTTATTTCCGTAGTTTTCACCCCTCCACCCCCACCTTTAACCTTTTTTATCCTTTAATATCCAGTCAGCTATTTTTTCATAAATATACTTGCTTTTATGTCCCAAACACAAAACACTGACAATACTCCTTGGTAAACAAGGAAATCCTAGAAGAGTCCACCAAGCCCACAGCTTTGCTCCCCAAGTGTGGCACAGGTTAAACGACAGGGAAAAAGATGATCGATGGCCTCTCGTGATGTAGCCAGATGCTCCTCAGAGTCCATCCTGTTCAGAACTCGCTGATGCAATCCTGAAGAAAGTTTCAACACATGTTGCAGACAAGTATCAGAGGATAAGTCTTTGATTGATAATTTTTCGATTTATTTCTGCTAAGGCGACTGAAAACACAAAAGCTTTTTCATCAGAGAGGTTAGCGTAGATATCAACTTCCTTCTCTTGTTTCTCTGTTAAAAGAAAAAGGGAAAGTTTAACATAAGGCAGTACATGGAATAAATTTAATTTTTTCTTATTTCTTTTTATATTCCTATTTTTTTTCCTTTGGAATCTTTATAACCAAAATTTAAATTTTTTAATGCATTCAAATATTTATTTAAATGACAGTATTATTTATAATACTACAATGCATATTAAAATGTTATAAAGTACAATGCTACTAAACCGAAAAATTATTTTAAAATTACACAAAAGAATTATTGAAATAAACACTAAATGGGAAACTATTGTATTTCTTTACATACACACTCTAATCGCTATATCATTTCTGTAACAATTTCATATATTTCTTCCCACTAGTATGAGCTTACTGTCTCAACCGAAATCAAGATGGTCCCATCTGAACATCAGTGATATCTTTACAAAAATAATCACCTTAGCCCTGCTACAGGAATAAATCCAACTTTATAGTAGAAAATTTGAAAAAAAAATTACAATTACCTATTGAATCTCATCAGTCAGTCAGTATCACAACTAATATCTTGATACATATTATTCCAAATTCTTTTTTCGAACTCCATTACAATTTTGTTTATTTTGTTTAGACATTTTTTTTTTAAAGACTGAGTCTCAAGCTGTCACCCTGGGTAGAGTGCTATGTCGTCACAGCTCATAGCAACCTCCAACTATTGGGCTTAAGCGATTCTCTTGCCTCAGCCTCCTGAGTAGCTAGGATTACGGGCATCTGGTACAATGCCCGGCTATTTTTTTTTTTTTTAAACAGGGTCTCATTTTATCACCCTCGGTAGAGTGCTGTAGCATCACAGCTCACAGCAACCTCCAACTCCTGGGCTTAGGCAATTAATTCTCTTTTCTCAGCCTCCCAAATAGCTGGGACTACAGGCACCTGCCACAACGCCTGGCTATTTTTTGTTGCAGTTTGGCCAGGGAGGAGTTTGAACCCGCCACCCTTGGTATAGGATCGCCCTACTCACTACTTTTTTTCAGTTCCTCCTTTTTGTTTTTCATCCATTATTTGTGGTGGGGGCAAGAGCCACAAAACAATATGATCCTAATTTTCTGTGGCAGAAAGTGAATTGATAATGTCTAAAAGTCAAGAAGTATCAGCTTATAAAAATGTTAATTAGAGATAGATTTGTTTTTGTAAAAAAAAAAAGGAGGAACTGAAAAAAAGTAGTTAACAAAAAAATAGTACTTGCATTTGGAGAATAGGAAATGTGCATGAGAAAAAGGACTTCATTTTTTTGTAATAAGTTTTATTTAAAAAATTGCCAGCATGATAGATGGTTAAAAATAGAATTTATACCAAAGCATATCATCAAATCTCATATTTCTCTAGTTAAAGAGAAAATACTTAATGTTTACTACCATATAGTGTGTACGCTTCATTATCTGGTTTCTTTTACTCAGTATGTTTTTGAAATTCACTGATGGTATCCATGTAATCAGTAGTCTGTTCCTTGTGGGGTAGATGGCAGTAATTCCAATACCATATTGATTCCTTTTTTTTTTTTTTTTAACTGAAAACATTGTGGGCCCTTTTAACATGGAATCTCAACGTTCTTCACACTTGGGAAAATTCCCTGAATTACTTCATTGATGACTTCCTTCTCCTCCATCTTCTATGTTCTTTTTTTTTGAGACAGAGTCTTACTATGTCACCCTTGGTAGAGTGTCGTGGCATCAGAGCTCACAACAACCTCAAACTCTTTGGCTTAAGTGATTCTCTTGCCTCACCCTCCCAAGTAACTGGGACTACAGGTGCCCACCACAACACCCAGCTATTTTTTTGTTGCAGTTGTCATTGTTCTTTAGCTGGCCCCAGCTGGTTTCGAACCCACCAGCCTTGGTGTATGTGTCTGGACCCGTAACCACTGTTACAGGCACCAAGCCAATCTTCCATGTTCTTTATCTGAAACTTTACTTATATTAATAGATTAGATCTCACACTAGTGCTATAAGTTGATCTTTCCATTCTATTTTTTCACTGCTTTTCATACCGCTTTATCTTCTGTTACCTTTCTTCAATTTTATCTATTAGCCTTCTGCTTAGGTTGTTCATTTCTGTGAATCATGTATGTTTTGGGGTTCATTTTGTATATTTTAAAGTTCATTTCCACGTGCCTTTTTTATTTCTGCCATTTCCTTTTATAAATATTATCTTTTTTTTTTTAAGACAGAGTCTCATTTTGTCGCCCTCGGTAGAGGGCGTGGGCATCATAGTTCACAGCAACCTCAAACTCTTGGGCTCAAGAAATTCTCTTGCCTCAACCTCCCAAGTAGCTGGGACTACAGGTGCCTGCCACAATGCTCAACTATTTTTAGAGACGAGTTCTCACTCTTGCTCAGGCTTGTCTTGAACCTGTGAGCTCAGGCAATCCACCTGCCTCGGCCTGTTAATTGCTGGGATTAAAGGCATAAGCTATGGGCACCGGATCCCTATAAATAATTATTTGTTCTCATTTCATAATTATAATCTCCTCTTTTACTAAAGATATTATTATTATGATTATTTTAAGATAGGGTCTTGTTGTCTTTTTAGGCTAGCCAGAGGGCAGCAACATCATCATAGCTCACTATAACCCCAACTACTGGGCTCAGGTGATCCTTCTGTCTCAACCTCTTGGGTAGCTTGGAAGACAGGCACCCGCTACCACACCTAAGTAATTTTTCTGTTTTTTGGAGAGAAGAGGACTTATGTTTGCTCAGGCTGGTCTCCAACTAGAGAGCTCAGGTGATCCGCTCACCTCGGCCTCCCAAAGTACTGGGATTACAGGCCTGAGCCCCCGTGCGTGGCTTCAATCCATCAACTTTAACTTAAAGTCTAATTCATTCTTAAGTTCATTAATATGATATTCAGAATTGCCTAACCTACATATACTATTAATCAGCCAAAATTTCATTCCTACATTATAATATCTGGAATAGTCATACTCCCTATATGCAAAATGAAGACTTATTGATATGAAACCAAATCAAAATTCTTAATTTAATGGTTTTTGTGATTTTATAAAAACAATAGTATCTAAATATGTAACAAGCTTTCCTTTTTTAGTCCTCCTTTTTTCTATTCTTTCTCAAAATAAAAAATAAGTCAATTTTTTAAAGTTTCGTTTTTAAGACACACTATCAGGTTCTCCTTAATTCATATGTTAAAGGTAAAGCTGACTTCAGATTTTTCAAGTGCTTTAAGAGCAGGGAATCAATAAAAATAATTAAACTAAATAGCTACGTAGTACAAGAAGCACATCGAAGAAGTCTACTTTAAAATATACAGACATTTCAAAAGTCTATAGTTTCCAGCCCTATCGTATTTTGAAAACATGGTTTACATCAGGATTGGCAAACTACAGCCCACATGCCACATCTTTAGGAAGTCTTACTGGCACACAGACATGCCTGTTGATTAACATTGTTTGTGGCTGCTTTCCAGTGACAATGACAAAGTTGTGTAGTGTGACAAAGATAGTAGGGTCCACAAAACCTAAAATATTTACTATCTGGCTTTGTTTGTTTGTTTGCCCAGGGCTGGGTTTGAACCCACCACCTCTGGCATATGGGGCTGATGTCCTACTCCTTGAGCCACAGGTGCCGCCTGTTGTTTTTTTTTTTTTTGAGACAGAGCCTCAAGCTGTTGCCCCAGGGAAAGTGCCATGGGGCTCAAGTGATTCTCCTGTCTCCATCTCCCAAGTAGCTGGGACTACAGGTGCCTGCCACAACGCCCAGCTATGTTTTGGTTGCAGCTGACATTGTTGTTTGGCGGGCCCAGGCTGGATTCAAACCCACCAGCTCAGGCATATGTGGCTGGTGCTTTAGCTGCTTGAGCCACAGGCACTAAGCCCTATCTGGCTTTTTATAAAAAAGTTTGCTGACCCTCTGATCTACATTAAAGGATTCCAGTTTCTGCTATAAAAATTAATTTGAGGAATTGTCTGCAATTTGTATCAAAAACAAATAAACTATTAAAAGTGCATCTTAGTCTAGAAATAGCTTTCTCCAAATGTTTCTATAATGAACAGAAAATGCCTGAAAAATATTTGTAAATATTGATAGCCAAGTATTTATAGCTTTCCTCAAGTTACCATGAAATAAAAGTTCAATCCTACAATACCGAGAGTCCTAGCACAACCATATTAAGACTTCCAACTGAAAGGGTGTCATTATCTCTTTTTTCATCTCCTCTTATCCACTACTAGAAGCATTACTTTTCTGTTCTTTCCATTACATTCCCTTTACTTCAACCAGAAAGAATGTTCTGTTTTCTGGGCCAAACAGTATTTCTCTCTGTTCTTTCTTCTCTATTGACTTTTCTTTACCCAGTTTCCCTTTGTTTTTTGTTTTTTTGAGACAGAGTCTCAAGCTGTTGCCCTGGGTAGAGTGCCATGGCGTCACAGCTCACAGCAATGTCAAACACTTGGGCTTAAGTGATTCTCTTGCCTCAGCCTCCCAAATAGCTGGGATTATAGGCACCCGCCACAATGCCCAGCTATTTTTTGGCTGTAGTTGTCGTTGTTTGGCAGGCCCAGTCTGGATTTAGGAAGTCCAGCTCCAAGGTATGCAGCTGGAGCCCTAGCCACTGAGCAACAGGTGCCAAGCCTCAGGTTCCCTTCTAAAATAGTCTTTGGCATAGGTTTTCTGATCATCTTTTTGTTAGGGAAGCACATTCAAATTGAACAAAGAACTCAAATTTTCTGGAAGAGCATGATACAAGGAAAAAGCAGTAAAAGTTCCCAAGGAATAAGGAGTATCTAAACACAGCCTTTACAGAATACAGTCAAATATAATATAAACTTTATTCCTCTAGCCATACAATATTAAGACATCTTTAATTTTGATAAGGACAGCTATATAGAGTAGTTGTTCTCTCTAATAGTAGTAACTTTATTCAAATAAAAGCACACAAAGCAAAGAGAAATGGCTGACAGAAAATTCTTAATGTTTAAAATAAGAGAAATTTACATTTATACAGAAAACAATTGAGTACCTAAGACTGAATATCAGAAAAAGCTAAGTGTAAGTCACAAATCATATAAGAAATTACAAATGAATTTTGATAAAAATGAAATGAGAGGTTTTTAAAGAATAATAAAAAGCAATCTATCCTTTTTTTCCCATTCATTACTGGCTTGGAAATCCCAATTTTAAAAAGACATTCATGGGCATATAGGGGCTTATTGTACTGTTTTCCCTATTCTCATGTATGTAGAAATTTTCCAAAATAAATCTTTTATTAAAAGATACATAAATCAAGGAAAACAAGAAGTTGAAGTCTTAGTTAATGGATAAAAACGAGTTATTGGTGAACGTGCTATTTATCAGAAGAAAGGACAAGACTTGTAAGGAGAAATATAAACATGCTGTGGACCAAGAAAGGTCCACCTAACTATAGGAAAGCTGCCTCAAAGCAGGAAGCACGTGAGTCTCCCAAAGAGCAATTTAAAAGTTCACCAAGAACACATTCAATAGTAAATTTTTTTTTTTTTGAGACAGAGTTCTACTTATTAACCCTCGGTAGAGTGCCATGGCGTCACAGCTCACAGCAACCTCCAACTCCTAGGATTAGGCGATTCTCTTGCCTCAGCCTCACAAGCAACTAGAACTATAGGTGCCCACCACAACACCTGGCCATTTTCTCATTGTAGCCTGGCCAGGGCTGGGTTTGAACCCACCACCCTCCACATGTGGGCTGGCACCCTACCCACTGAGCCACAGGTACCGCTCCTCAATAGTAAATTTTTTAAAACTCACAGTGTAACAGCTTGAAGTAAGTTTTAACAGAATTCAATCCTGTCTTTAAAAAAAAGCATAATCATTTTTAGTCTTCTCCAAGACATCATATACAGTTTATCTCAGAATTCTACTACTATCAGTTTACAGCAAAGTGAATTTTACTGAAACCTTTAAGTTTCTGATAAGAATTAAATGATTAAAAAAAATATATAAGCATCGGCTCAGCACCCATAGCACAGTGGTTACAGCACCAGACACACAAAGCCAGGCTGGCAGGTTTAAACCCAGACTGGGCCAGCTAAACAATGACAATTGCAACAAAAAAAATAGCTGAGCATTGTGGTGGGTGCCTATAGACCCAGCTACTTGGGAGGCTGAGGCAAGAGAATCACTTAAGCCCAAGAATTTGAGGTTGCTATGAGCTGTGATGCCCCCACACTCTACCAAGGGAAACAGTGAGACTCTCAAAAAAAAAAAAAAAAAAAAAACACCTCAGTGAATATTGTGCTGGCCACATACACCAAAGCTGGCAGGTTGGAGCCCAGCCCACACCTGTGAAACAACAATGACAACTGCACCCAAAAAACAGTGGGTGTTGTGGGGGGCACCTGTAGTCTCAGCTGCTCAGGAAGCTGAGGCAATAGAATCGCTTAAGAGTTTGAGGTTGCTGTGAGCTGTGACGCCACGGCATTCTACCAAGGGCAACATGGTGAGACTGTGTCTCCAAAAAGAAAAAAAAAGCATCTACCATAGAGGAAATGCTTTCAAACTAAAATATGAGTTGTAATTTTGAGTCCAGGAGCTCAATGCCTCCACTTTTTCTTTACTACTATCTCATTAAGACCCAAATCAACTGAACACTTGGAACAGAACTGCTTAGGTTTGTTCATACCTCTTTCTTCCTCATGTTTTTTAGCAGATGCACTTTTAGGTCTTCCTCTTCCTCGTCTGATATGATCTGAATGGCTGTTACTTCGAGATCTCTTTCTGTTTTCTAAATCTTTATTTACTGTAGAATTTATCTTCTCTCTCCTAACTCTCTCTGTTCGCCTCCTCTTGGCCTCATGCTTGTTTTCTGTATGGATGAATAAAAGTGATATATTTTAGGGCTTTGCAATAACTGTTTGCCCAAGTTCTCATTGCTTTTATCTTTCTAAACAGCACTAGAGTAAGCTCCCTGGCATATATTATAAAACTACACCCATAACACACACATCCCCCATTCCTACATAAGGAAAAAAAAGAAATTCAACAGAATTCAGATCCATTTAACATATGAAGTAGAAGGAATCTCTGAAGAGAAAACAAGTTTCATTTGGCAGCTTGAATTTCAGCCTCCACAAGTTCACACAATTCCACTGCAACCCTCTGCCTTTCTCCTCCTGTTTCCAAACTAAAAGTGAAATAGGAATGAAAAAAAAAATTCATTCCTTTCTGCCCCATACCTGAATTAAAGATTGAACTATGTCAAATATGCAGAAGCAAAACTGACAGCTGTAAAATATGAGGTTGTAATAAAAACAGAGCATCCATAGAAAACATAAACCAGTAGCGAAGGGAGCAAGTTTCCCCTTTAGCCACTTTAGATGAGGTCATTTCTGACATAAGAGTACACTGTTTCATAAATGGAATAGGAAAAGGAGAACTTTACTAAATATGGTGATTAATTCATGTCAGAAGCCACCCGTCCCACTCTAAAAAAATCAACATGTTAGGTAAGACAAATGACACATTTACAAAACAAAAAGCAAAACAAAACACCTTGCTTTAATACATACCCGAACTCAAAAGTAAGAAAAAGAATTCTTCAAAAGTCTATAGAATCACAGCAGTAAAGGGACAAAATACACAGGAAAAGTCATATCCCAAGAACTGAAGGACAACAATACATAAGTGCTTAACAGGCTACTCAAAGAAAAAAGTAAAGAATTAGTTAATTCCAGGGTTCAGATTAGACATACACCAGATGAGACAATTCCAGGTTGCAAGAAACTTATAAGCAAAGACAACCAGAGTCTTGTTAAAAGACTGAGGAGCTAACTTAAAGAGACCCCATTAGTCATTATAGGACAATTTGAGCACTGATAAAAAACTGTAAGAGACTGAACCATATCAAATACACAGGTACACATGGCTAGGCCAGAGGGCTCACGCCTGTAACCTCAGCAATCTGGGAGGCCAAGGCCAGTGGATTGCCTGAGATCAGCCTGAGCCAGAGCGAAACCTCATCTCTAAAAATAGCCAGGCATTGTGACTGGCGCAGGTAGTCTAGCTACTCAGGAGGATTAGGCAAGGGGATCAGTGGAGCCCAAGAGTTTGAGGCTGCTGTGAGCTATGACACCACAGTACTCTACTGAGGGTGACGAAATAAGACACTATAAAAAAAAAAAAAAGACACTGAAAACAAAAATCACTGGGCCCCCACAGAAGGTGCTTAGGAATCAACTCATAATTGTGAAAACTTAAAGGGACAGGACAAAGCATTTATCTTGCTTTTTCTATTCAAACTATACCACTCCCTGGGTAAGGAAAGGGCAGAAGAAGAGAAGTTTCTCATTTTAGAATTATTAAAGCTAATAAATTTAGAAGGAATGACAGAATCAGGGTATCACCGTTTCCAACCTGCAGTGAAGTAAAGGAGCTAAGCGTTAAACATCAACAGCTGCCAATATTGCTCCATGAGAGGTAAGCAGACTCGAAGTGCCTCCTCAGCACTGCCTATTAAGTGGTTCTGAAAAACAAATAAAATAAATCCACTCTCTTCAGTCCTTAAATCCAACTTCCACCTTATTAGGAAAAACAGAAGTCATTCAAGGAGTATGCTAACCTACCCTACAGGGATACACACACAGCACATACAAATGAACAGGCCATGTGGTTTTCTCAGCCCATAACTTACAAGTGAAAAAAGAAAATAACAGATACAGAGAAGGCTAAAAAAGTTATCACTCATTTTCAATCTGTGAATTTTATTTGAAATCTGTTCTTAAAATTTTTAACTTACATGAAACTGAAAATTTGAAAACTAGTTAGCTATTTGATAATAAGAAATTACTGGGCTCCATGCCTGTGGCTCAAGCGGCTAAGGCGCCAGCCACATAAACCTAAAGTGGCGGATTCGAATCCAGCCTGGGCCCGCCAAAACAACAATGATGGCTGCAAACAAAAAATAGCTGGGTGTTGTGGAGGGCGCCTGTGGTCCCAGCTACTTGGGAGGCTGAGGCAGGAGACTCGCTTGAGCCCAGGAGTTGGAGGTTGCTGTGAGCTGTGATGCCACAGCACTCTACCCAGGAGGATAGCTTGAGGCTCTGTCTCAAAAAAAAAAAAAAAAAAAAAAATCATTGTTGGGTTGGCGCCCGTAGCTCAGTGGGTAGGCTGGCGGTTTTGAATCTGGCCCTGGGCCTCCTAAACAACAACGACAACTACAACAACAAAACAGCTGGGCATTGGGGGGGGTGTCTGTAGTCCCAGCTACTTGGGAGGCTGAGGCAAGAGAATCACTTAAGCTTAAGAGTTTGAGGTTGCTGTGAGCTGTGACACTACGGCACTCTACCAAGGGCAACACAGTGAGACTCTGTCTCAAAAAATAAAATAAAATAAAATAAATTACTATTAATTGGCCTGGTGCAGTGGCTCACACCTGTAATCCTAACACTCTGGGACAGGTGGTGCATAGCTTGAGCTCACAGGTTCGAGACCAGCCTGAGCAAAAACAAGACCCCATCTCTACTAAAAATAGAAAAACTGAGGCAAGAGGATCGCTTGAGCCCAAGAGTTGGAGGTTGCTGTGGGCTATAATGCCATGGCACTCTACCCAGGTTGACAGCTTGAGATTCTGTCTCAAAAAAAAGAAGAAAGAAAGAAAAAAAGAAATTACTGTTGTTACAATGGTATTGTATTTGTGATTTTAAAGGTCTATTTTTTAGAAACATATAAAGAAATATTTATGACTGAAATTATATGGGAATTGCTTCAACATAATGTAAGAGAAGGGGGTAGATGTGGGTGTGGATGGAGCAGGATGGATCGCTGTCTGTTATATGCTTAGAATTTTTCAAACAAAAAAGGTTATAAGAGGCTCAGTGCCCATAGCTCAGTGAGTAGGGCGCCTAACACATATACTGAGGCTGGTGGGTAAAAGCCTGGCCCTGGCCTGCTAAACAACAATGACGACTGCAACCAAAAAATAGCCAGGCGTTGTGGTGGGCACCTATAATCCCAGCTACTTGGGAGGCTGAGGCAAGAGAATCACTAAAGCCCAAGAATTTGAGGTTGCTGTGAGCTGTGATGCCACAGCACTCTACCGAGGGCAACATAGTGAGACTCTTAAAAAAAAAAAAAGTACAAAATTGAAGGTCTCACACTACTGATTTCAAAACTTACCACAAAGCTACAATAATCAAAATGGTATTGTACTGACATAAAGACAAATATATGTGGGTCATTACAAAAGTTTTGAGATACACAAAGATCAAGAAATGTAAAATCTGTGCAGACAGAAACAAATGAAGCAACAACATCAACTGAGCAGGCTGAAACTTACATGGATAAATCAGAAAAAAAAAGCTCTATAAACCATTTCTTGGAAGTAAAATAATGGACAGAGTTTTGTCTCAAAACTTTTTTTTTTTTTTTGGAGATAGTCTCACTTTGTCACCCTCAGTAGACTGCCATAGCACGATAGTTCACAGGAACCTCAGACTCCTGGGCTCAATGATTCCCTTGCCTCAGCTTTCCAAGTAGTGGGACCACAGGTGCCTGCCACAACACCCAGCTATTTTTACAGGCGAGGTCTCACTCTTGCTCAGGCTGGTCTCAAACCTGTCAGCTCAGGCAATCCACCTGCCTTGGCCTCCCAGAGTGCTAGGATTACAGGCATGAGCCACCATGCCTGGCCTCTCAAAACTTTTGTAGTGACCCATATATATAGACAAAAGGAATAAAATAAAGAGGAAGAAAATAAACATATGTATGGTTAAAGAATTTTCAGTAAGAGTATGAGACAATCAAGGAAAGGACAGTATTTTCAACAAGTCATAATGGAAAAACTCGCTATCTACATGCAAACAAATGAAGTTGGGTCCTTATCTTACACCACACACAAAAATGAACTCAAAATAGATCAAAGATCTAAACACAGCAGCTAAAACTATAAAACATAATGAGAAAGCTTCATGATACTGGATTTTGGCAATTAATTTCTTGGATACCAAAAGCACAAGCAAAAAAGACAAAGATAAAATGAACTTTATTAAAACTAAAAATTTTATGCATCAAAGGACACTATCAATAGAGTGAAAAAGCAGCACATGGCATGAAAGAAAGAATATGAAAATTATCAGGTAAGAGCTTAATATTCAGAACATATAAAGAATTTTAACAAATCAACAACAAACAAGCCAATTCAAGAATGAGCAAAAGACATGAACAAACTTGTCTCTGAATAAGACATAAGACTGGCCAGGCGGCGCCTATGGCTCAGTGGGTAGGGCACCAGCCCCATATACCAAGGGTGGCGGGTTTGAACCCAGCCCTGGCCAAACGGCAACAAACAATAGTGGGGCGTTGTGGCGGTTGCCTGTTACTGAGTCCCAGTTACTCGGGAGGCTGAGGCAAGAGAATCTCCTACGCCCAAGAGCTGGAGGTTGCTGTGAGCTGTGACACTATGGCACTCTACCAAGGGCAATAAAGTGAGACTCTGTCTCTTTAAAAAAAAAAAAAAAAAGGACTGGCCATAAGCAGAGAAAACTTTCAATGCAAATCAAACCACAGCAAAACATCACTTCACACTCAAAGCAAACCAAAATAAAAACAGAAAACAAGTGTTGGCAAGGATGTGGAGAAACTGGAACCTAATGGAAATGGAAAATGGACCAGATGCTGTAGAAAAACAGCAGGGTGATTCTTCAAAACAACTACCCAATAGAACTATCATACAATCCAGCAATTCCACTTCTGGATATATACCCCAAATAATGAAAGCCAAGTACTGAAACAGATATTTGTACACCAACCCCATGTTCATAGCAGCATTATTCATAATAGACAAAAGGTGAAAGCAACCCACATGAATGA